GTACAAATAAAATCTAATTTTGTTGGGTAATCTTATTATATCTCGGTTAGTTCCTGTTCGTGATCGTAAAAGTTAAAATCCTTTGCTTCGATGAATAGGTTGATAATGAAAGACGCTGTACTTCCATTCCCGAACCATGGTCATGTAGTGCTAGCTAATTCGCCGATTTTGATGTATCAGGTATTTATTTTTGGATAATGATATATAGTCCCCATGCATTTGATGTACCATTCTATATCTCAAAGTTTTAACAATAAATCACATCGAGAGTACTAAATAAAAATTTTCCTTGCTAAATTTTACTAATCTAATATTAAAGAAATTAAATTTCAGTATTATAAATCTTATATTAATTATTAAAGACACCAAATGTATGGGGGCACCGTTTAACATTTCCCTTAATGTAATTTTGCTAATGGTATAATGTTATACATTCTTTATTTAGATCGGTACGCATGAAACACGCGTATTAATTGATATTCCTGGAAAATTGCCAAGTAATGGCTCAGGCGAATTAAAGGTACACTGAATTATTTATTTATTTACCGCATAGTTGAGCACTTAGTATAACGAAAAAAGTCATTAGACAAATATGTTTTTTATACGTCTAATGGGTGTCTATTAGTATCTAATATCTGTCATTCACAACCCAGTTTACTGCATTCACAATTTCTAACAATAATTTCGTTTATTATAAAGAAATATATTGAAAGTAAAGTTTTACCATTTATTCCAAAATCGGTTCAGGTAAAAAAAAATTTTTGTTTATTCGTAGTTAATTGGTACCGACAATTAATATACTGAGTTCTAATTTAGTCGTCCTTTCGTGAAGCACTACAAACTGAGCGTCTTCGATCAATGCCAAACAGTTTTTTACCACCTTCCACCAATGTTAACGGTGGATTGATTATGTTGGGTGACGCAATGAATATGAGGCATCCTTTGACTGGTGGTATGCACCAACTTTTAAAAGATTTTGATCGTATACTTACGTATTTGTGAATTAATATTAATGATACGAATCACTTTTAATCATAGGTGGTATGACTGTAGGCTTTCGTGATGTAGTGATACTTTCCGATCTTTTATCTCCTACCCAAACACCAGATTTCAACGATACTGGACTTATACTGGCTCAATTGCAAGTATTTCATTGGAAGAGAAAATTTTATTGTAGTACTGTCATAAACGTACTTGCTCAGGCACTATATTCCTTATTTTCTGCGGAAGGTAGGCAATTAATTCTTTACAAACGCGTATGTATTATGACAGCTTGACTGACTACTTTGTTATTGTTCAAATATAGACAAGTATCTATATATATTACGTGAAGCATGTTTCAACTACTTTAAGCTAGGAGGTATTTGCATCGCACATCCTTGTGGAATGCTAGCAGGGTATGTGTCAACCTTATAAACGAATAATTTGTATGCATACGTCTTTCATAAAAAAAAAAAATTTAACGATAGCTTATTATTAGATTATTCCCAAATCCATTCTTACTTGTCTTTCATTTCTTTGCCGTGGCAATTTATGGAGTGTATAAAATATTCCGAAACGACACAATTTTACATATACCAGAAAACATTTTAAAAAGTGTTATTGTAATTTATACTGCTTGTATTGTAATTTTGCCCGTCTTATGGACTGAGTTAAAATATTAGAGTTCTAATGATTAAATTTAATTATCATTTATTGTCTCTTTTAGTAAGTTAAGTTAGATTGATACTAAAATTTTCTTACATAATAATAGCTGACTGTATAAATAATTAATATAATTTTGATTACTATTTAATATTCTTTTCTATGACTACACAATAGTGATCAAGGTTGGTTAAAAACCAGCTAGTTTGTAATAACCAAGAATATTTTAAAACCAATATATAGGATGCCTCGTATTAAAAGAGCCCCTTTTGACAATATTTTGAGCAAATCGAATTTAAATGATCTTCAAATAGGAAAATTTATAAATTAAGTTCATTTGTGATCTTTTTATACATAATTAACTTCTGTTACTTATAGCAAACTTCTTTTATTGAATATATATCTTTTCAAAAATTAAATAAAAATACATTTGAAAAATTGCCAAAATAGTCCTTTTAATATGAGGCACCCCATACAATTTACCCTACCGGTGGTATATTGCCTAAGAAGCCTTAACTTGGCTTTTATTGATCAATTGCTAAACCCAAAAGGAAATATATAATAACTTAGCAACAGCTCAAGTTTTTTAAAAAGAAAACAAGCAAGGGCAGAATGGTTAAATGGTTTAGTCAAATCAAGAACTAATATTAGAAGACCACCAAAACAGACTGGTAAAACACAATACAAAACAATTGGTAGGTCTTAAGAGCTTGCCTAATTAGTTTATTAACAAATAACTAAATTAAAGAGTAGATAGTTATAAAACATCAAAGAATGAAGAAAATTCAAGATCAATTTTCACAAGAATAATTTTCAAAACTTTAAGAAAAATTTTAGTTAAATATTAGAAGATATTTATAGAATTGGCCAATTAAATTCATATAAATCTCAATTAAATTCATTATATTATATGAAATTTTATTTTGATCTATCTTTAATATCTTGTGATCTAGTAATTAGATTTGGATGATTTTGGTACTTTTAGAATTGTCTTATCAAGATGATTTAAATGGTACTAAAATTATCCAAATCTGATCACTAGATTATAAGATATCAAAGATGGATCAAAATGGAATTTTGTGTAATGTGATAAATTTGATTGAGAATTATATAAATTTGATTAGCCTAACTTATCTCTTTGTCTATAGGCCAATTCAGAGCAAATTTACTCCTAATTTTATTAATATATATATATATAAATATTTATAACTATAACTGGTAGCTTTCCTTCAAGCTATCACAGCATTATTTAATAAATGTATTACTACCAATCAAATTCTTAAATAATAGAAAGAGGGTAGAATCTTTCCAATCTTTAAAAAACCCATCTTTGATGGAAATTTAACCAACATTAGACTTATAAGTTTACTCGAACATATTAAAAAATTATACACTAAACTACTTATCAATTACCTTAACTATATCTTCACTAAACACTCAATCCTTTCCCCTTACAATTATATTGCACTTCCTGGTAATAGTATCGCTATACCTATACATATCCTCAATAACATTATTGAAGATGCTTTATATAACTTCAAAGAACTCTAGCTCATATCTTAGAATATGAGCAAGACATATGATTCTATCAACCTCGATCTTTTTAAAAGATCCTTTATATATATCTGCATACTTTCTAAACTTATTAATATACTTACTAACCTCCTTGCAGACCATCACAATAGAGTAATTATAAATCTAGGCCTTACCAAGAATTATCAGGTTAAAAATGGCATAGACTAAAGAGAGATTATAACTCTACTATTTTGGAGAATCTATTACGATCCTCTAATTTATAAAGTTGCATCCTGTTATACAGGATACACTCTATCAACAACCTGATATACAAACTTACACTCTACATCTAAACAATATACTCAAGCCTCAACATCCATACTGGCATATATAGATGACACACTATAGATTGCTCAGAACAAAGCAGAAATGGAATGAATTACACAAATTGCCATGTCATTCTATCAGATGTCTAATTTACAAATCAATCCATCCAAATTAGTATTTGCTACAAACTGTAAACCTACTTTAATTTCTTTCATTAATTATACTCTTAACTCAATACTAATTAATTAGCCTTTCAAGTATTTGAGATGTTGGTTTACACTCAACAATAAGCAAAATGAACAAATCAAACTCATACAAGATGAAACTTTTCAGCTAACTTACATTGCAAGTACCAAAAAGATCACAGATAAACAAATAATTTATATTATTATTATACCAACTTTAGAATATAGATTACATAACATAGTACT